TTCTTTCCTTGAATGATGTTATAGCTTAGAAGGAAAATGGGAATTCTACTCCAAGGTAGAAGAGTTACTATCATCAGAAAGATGCGGAGAAGGGATGGTGTATATGCAAAGGCAAATGAACTTATTTCCAACTTAGAGGAAGGAGGAGGAAGGTCAGGGAGAACTTCGTGGAAGAGTGCATTTGATCTATTTCTTGAAGGGCCCAAACACTTGTTTCAGAAATGCCAGTTAGAACTTGAGAAATATTTTTAGTACCTCTCTTTGGAATTTGTCTTCTCAATCTATGGTGAATCTTTTGTCTATAGAATCTTCATATTCTGATGTAAGTTTTGGTATGTGGAAATAGCTACATACCATATTTTTGCCAAGTCTGGTCTGAAAGAGAGGTGATTTGGTTGCATAACTCTGTTCTTTCTTGAAAACAGGGTGTACTTTTGAGTTAAGATACCAATTTTCCACTATGACTTATAAATGGAGCCCTGAAACAATTTCAGGGTAGGAGTTTAAAAATCATTTGGAACAATGGAAGCATCAATAGATTATTAAGTTTACAGTTTCTAAAGGTGATTAGTTTGAAGGATGACCCCCATTTGGCCATATGTTCTGATATGTTCGTTTACTCACTCTCAGTATACTTGGTATTTTGATTTACTGAAAGAATCAACACTGAAACATGCAAGATGCCATGCACATTTTTCTTTGGATTCTATGCCATGTTACAAATATCTAAAGTGTAAACATTATGGGAGCAAAGAAAGCAATATAAAATGGAAGTTCTTCCAAGGTAGATCTGTGAAAATTATGTTGGTACTAGGAAATATACACAGGTTTCTAAGAGCTCTTAGTAATTCTGGGCCACTTGGCTAATAATAAATATCAGTTTATGTGTCCTGGGCATTGAGGTATGTGCTTGGTCGGACTGGTCCTTTATGAAGGGGGTCATAGCAAACCAATCTTCCAGTTTGGAATGGGGGACTAGAGAAAATATGGAAGACCGATGGCAAAAAGCATACACCTAAAGTCATGTCCTCTCCCTGCCTGTTCATCCCCAGAGTTTCACAGCCACTCTGCTCCCCCATTGCTTGAGCCCAGGGTACCTTCAGTGCAGGGTCAGCGTGTACTACCTCTGCTAGGGCAGCATGAAGATAGTAAGAGGTTTTCTCTAAAGACCACCCATATCTCATACCTTTTAACAGAGTGTTCTCAATACAAATGGAAACCGAAGACCACAAAACAAAAGCACTTCAAGTCCATTTGTTCAGATCAATGATTCTTAAAAATAGGCTCCCCAGACCAGGGACATCGGCATAACCTGAGAACCAGTCAGAAATGCAAACTCTCCACTCCCACCCCAGAAGTACTGAGTTTGGAGAGGGAAGGCGGTGAGGCCCAGCCATCTGACTTAACAGGCCATGGTCCCAGGTGGTTCTGATGCACTCTGAAGTGTGGAGGCCACTGGGTCGGTCACTAGCAGCAGTAAGGAAATGGGCAGATAAGCCACGCCACCTCTCATGAACTTGACAATTTACTCTAACAGCCTCTCACCATCCTCCTGATTGCTACATTTAATACACACACAATTACACACAGAGCGTGTGTAAAAAAAGCCATGGCTTCTCTCTGTAAAGAGATGGTATGGAAAAGAGACAAACTGACTAGTGTGTAGTTTTCGTGAATGACACCAGCCTCAGCTCCCCTCCTCCACCCCACTTCACCTCCTATAAAAGAATCACAGGGAAAAAAAACATTACTGGCAGGTGGCTCTTCCATTTCTTTGACTAGCAGTGAGACAGAGAAACTGAAGGACTCCATAAAAATCTGCTTTTTACTTCTCTTCCTGCTTCCATTCTTGCTAAGACCTGCACCCCCACCTCGCTTTACACATGCCTCATAATGCAAAAGTGTATGTCCTCCTCGTCAGGGACCAGGAGTCGGTGATTTCTCGAGAACAGATAACATCTAAGGAAGGAGGAGAGGATGAAGCTATCATACGCGTATTGCACCACCCGAGCTAGGCATCTCCACGCCAAGACCCCTGGCTCCAAGGAGTAATGCGCGAGCCCTCGTCTTTGTTCTCACGGGTCCTGGATGCCTGAGGGGAACCCGTACACCAGACCGCGGTCCTCCACAAAACCCCAGACCCCAAACAAAGACGAGACTCACGTTCCTTTTCTTTCTGAGTCTCCCAGATGCCCGATATTTACCTGCTCTCTCTGTATCTTCAGTAAACTCCTCTCACCTCCTGCTGGCTCACTCTTGATTTCCCAACCTATGTGAAGCCAAGTACCCCCTTGGCTGCTCCTGGAGGACCCCTCTGGGTCCTCAGACCCTCCCTGCTGGCATCAGCAAGAAGATTTTCTGGGGTGGTATAAGTTATCCTGTGTCTCAGTCAATAGCTATGCCCAAGCCTGTTTTGATGAACTATTAAAGATAAACAGATGCTCTGTCTTATTTGTAGCTAGACTGTCCTAGTCATTTCAGATCTATTCATTGGACCATGATACTGAAGCTGCATGACACAATTTTTGGATGTGACTTCAAGTTTCACCATCCCCTCAAAAGGCATAGAATAAAATGACTCTCTGCTTAGGAGTTAAGATGTAAACTCTGGAGAAGTGCAGTCCTTAGACATATAATGCGATCGATACATCTAACTTAATTTTCCTTAAGTAACCACATTAAGAAAAATGAAATGAGTGACATTGTTAAAATATATTGTTTAATCCAGTGTATTAAAAATATTTCAGCATGTAAACAATATAAAATGAGATATTTTCACTTTTAAAAAAAGTCTTCAAAATCTTGCATGTATTTACACATACAGGCCATCTCAATTGAAATGCTAAATTTTTAACTAGAAATACTTGATGTTTCCTTTAAACTTATAAAATTTGGGGGCGCCCGGTGGCTCAGTCGTTAAGTGTCTGCCTTCAGCTCAGGTCATGATCCCAGGACCCTGGGATCGAGTCCCACATCCGGCTCCCTGCTCCGCGGGAGGCCTGCTTCTCCCTCTCCCACTCCCCCTGCTTGTGTTCCTGCTCTCGCTGTCTCTCTCTCTAATAAATAAAATCTTTAAAAAAAAATAAAATAAACATATAATTTGTCATTGCAAAAGTAGATTTCATACCCAAGTTGTTCCAAACATACTAAAAAGGTTTTAGTAGTCTAAGTGAATATCTGTTTTTATTTATTTTTTTAAAGGTTTTTTTTTTAAGGCTATCTATTTATTTATTTGTCAGAGAGAGAGAGAGAGAGAGCACAAGCAGGGGGAGCTGCAGAGGGAGAGGGAGAAGCAGACTCCCCAGTGAGCAGGGAGCCCGATTTGGAACTCCATCCCAGGACTCTGAGATCATGACCTGAGCTGAAGGCAGACAACCAACTGAGCCACCCGGATGTCCCTGGATATCAGCTTTTATATTTAAATAAAAAATAAATAAAACTGTTAAAAAAAAAAGGGGGGGGAACACAGGCCCAAAATGGCATCACTTAGACCGACTTTCCAAATCCAGGCAATACCCAATTAGTTGCAATTTCAACCTCCCCAGGAAGGTAGCCTTAACTGGGTCAGCCAGGACATTTTCCTTCCCATCAGCAACAGTTTGTCACCTGGGTCCTTTCCATCCTGCTCTGAAAGATGAGGTAATCTGCAGGATGAGACCCCCTTGCTTTCCCCCTAGGAAACAGTCTCCTCTGGAACAATCCTTTTCCTTTGCTAAAAACTTTCTTGCCCCATCCTCTATCAAAAACAAAAACAAAAACAAACAAACAAGAAAACATTTTGTACAACTCCCAGGAGTGAATCTGTACTTGCTACACAGGGTGTGGCCTGATTGATGAATTGGTTAATAAAACCAATCGGATCTTTAAATTTACTTGGTGGATCTTCCTTCAACAACTGAAAGTTCAATTTCTCAGTCAGGCCAGCCACATTTCCAGCATTCAGGAGCTGCCAGTGGCTAGTGGCCACCCTCTGGGGCAGCACAGCTCTTGAGCTAGGACAGACCAACATGGTTAAGAAATCTGGTTTTAGGGGCGCCTGGCTAGCTCAGGCGGTGGAGCCTGAGCCTCTTGATCTCATGAGCTGGTGAGTTTGACCCACGTTGGTGTAGAGAAGGAAGGAAGGAAGAAAAGAAGGGGGGGGAGAGAGAGAGAGAAAGAAAGAGAAAAAGAAAAAAGAAAAGAAAGAAAGAAGAAAGAAAGGAAAGAAAGAAAGAAAGAAAGAAAGAGAAAGAAAGAAAGAGAAAAGGAAGGAAGGAAGGAAAGGGGGAAGGGGAAAAGGGGGAGGGAGGAAGAGAAAGAAGAAGAGAGAAGAGAGAAGGCAAGCATTCTAGCTTTGCCCTTTCCCGCCCTGCACGCTTCACTGCTCTCACCTGCCAAATGAGGGGGGCAAGCCGCACCCCACCTGTTTCAATCTCTGAACTAGCAGCAGTAAAGCCAAGGCCAGATGTTTCCTGACCCGGGGCTGCTGTATGTCACGGAGCAAATCCCGAACTGCCCTGAAACGCCTACCCTTTCACCTCACAGTTTAAACATGGCTTATATAGACCGGAGGAAGGAGGGAGCGAAGGCTGCAGGGCACACTCGCATCAGAACCAAGAGCACGCCGCCCCGACCCGCCTTCGGTTGGCCGTTTCCCGCCCGGTAAACGGAAGCAAAAGCGCCCCTGACGTCAAGGCAGGCGGCCGCTCCCGGGTCCCATGGTGAAGCCCCTGCGGCCATCTTTACTGCGGTCAGCCCGCACTAAGCTTTTCCTGGCGGCCGTGATGGCTCGCCATGGTAAGTCTTCAGAATAAGAGAACAGAAGGGACTCGTCCTTCTCGGTAACCAGCAGCTGACGGAATCACGAAAGCCCAGCGGCAGAAAGCACTAGCTGAGGCAGTGAGGGGAACACAGAGGTGGTGCGGCTTCCGCGGAGGAGCGGAACGATTCGGTCGCGGGGCTGAGGCTTCCGCCGGGGGCAGGAGAGCTGCTTCCGTTGCTCAGCGGAAGTGTGGGTGGCCAGAGGACGACTCTTGGAAGGATCGGCTCTCCGCTGGGTCCCCACCCGGAATCATGTCGAGTTTGGCGGTGAGAGACCCGGCGATGGATCGGTCGCTGCGTTCCGTGTTCGTGGGGAACATTCCGTACGAGGCCACCGAGGAGCAGCTGAAGGACATTTTCTCGGAGGTGGGTTCGGTGGTCAGCTTCCGGCTGGTGTACGACCGCGAGACGGGCAAGCCCAAGGGCTATGGCTTCTGCGAGTACCAGGACCAGGAGACCGCGCTCAGTGCCATGCGTAACCTTAACGGGCGCGAGTTCAGCGGCCGGGCCCTGCGGGTGGACAACGCCGCCAGCGAGAAGAACAAGGAGGAGCTCAAGAGCCTCGGGCCTGCGGCGCCCATCATCGACTCCCCGTACGGGGACCCCATCGACCCCGAGGACGCCCCCGAGTCCATCACCAGGGCGGTGGCCAGCCTGCCCCCGGAGCAGATGTTCGAGCTCATGAAGCAGATGAAGCTGTGTGTGCAGAACAGTCACCAGGAGGCGCGGAACATGCTGCTCCAGAACCCGCAGCTGGCCTACGCGCTGCTGCAGGCCCAGGTGGTCATGAGGATCATGGACCCGGAAATCGCGCTGAAGATCCTGCACCGCAAGATACATGTCACCCCGCTGATCCCCGGCAAATCCCAGCCTGTCTCCGGCCCTGGCCCCGGCCCCGGCCCTGGCCCCGGCCCCGGGCTCTGCCCCGGCCCCAGTGTCCTGCTCAACCAGCAGAACCCTCCCGCCCCGCAGCCCCAGCACATGGCGAGAAGACCCGTCAAAGACATCCCTCCTCTGATGCAGACCCCTATCCAGGGGGGGATGCCGACCCCGGGCCCGATTCCAGCCGCGGTTCCCGGACCGGGGCCTGGTGCCTTAACCCCTGGGGGAGGAATGCAGCCCCAGGTTGGAATGCCCGGCGTGGGTCCGGTGCCTTTAGAGCGGGGACAGGTGCAGATGTCGGATCCTAGAGCTCCTATACCTCGTGGGCCCATGACTGCCGGGGGCCTGCCTCCTCGAGGACTGTTGGGAGATGCTCCAAACGACCCACGTGGAGGGACTTTGCTTTCAGTCACTGGAGAAGTAGAGCCCAGAGGCTATCTTGGCCCACCTCATCAGGGCCCCCCCATGCACCATGCCTCTGGTCACGACGGCCGCGGCCCTTCGTCACATGAGATGAGGGGAGGGCCGTTAGCAGATCCCAGACTGCTGATGGGAGAGCCCAGGGGACCCATGATAGATCAGAGGGGTCTCCCTATGGATGGCAGAGGTGGTAGAGATTCTCGAGGGATGGAGACTCGAGCCATGGAGACTGAAGTCTTAGAGACACGAGTCATGGAGAGAAGAGGAATGGAGACCTGTGCAATGGAAACCAGAGGGATGGAAGCGAGAGGCATAGACGGAAGAGGGATGGAGATACGCGGCCCTGGCCCCGGTTCCAGAGGCCCTATGACTGGTGGAATCCAGGGACCTGGGCCCATTAATATGGGGGCAGGTGGTCCTCAGGGACCTAGGCAGGTCTCAAGCATTTCAGGGGTGGGAAATCCTGGAGCTGGCATGCCGGGGGCAGGCATGCAAGGGGCGGGCATGCAGGGGGCGGGCATACAAGGGGCAGGCATGCAAGGGGCGGGCATACAGGGGACAGGCATGCAGGGGGCGGGCATACAAGGGGCAAGCATGCAAGGGGCAGGCATACAAGGGGCAGGCATGCAGGGGGCGGGCATACAAGCAGTGGGCATGCAGGGAGCAGGCATGCAGGGAGCAGGCATACAGGGGACAGGCATGCAGGGGGCGGGCAAGCAAGGTGGAGGCCAGCCTAGCAGTTTCAGTCCTGGGCAGAGCCAGGTAACTCCACAGGATCAAGAAAAGGCAGCTTTGATCATGCAGGTTCTTCAGCTGACTGCAGATCAGATTGCCATGCTGCCTCCTGAGCAAAGGCAGAGCATCCTAATTTTAAAGGAACAAATTCAGAAATCTACTGGAGCTTCTTGAAAGGTTTTAGGAAATAATTGGCAGTAGTCTCAAAGTTTTTCTGTAGCATGCAGAATGGATGCAAAAAGCTGACTTCTGCATCCCTACACTTGAATGATTAGTTTCCCCTCCCTGAACTTTATCCCATTTCATCTTGTTGTCTTTTTATCTTTTTTTGTTTGTTTTTATCTTTAATGGGGGGGGGAGTAAGGGGAGGAAGGAGTGGGTCTGTTCATTTTTATTCACTGTAAATACACAAAAATAGCTCTGAACGTGGTTATATTATACCAAATAAGATTACAAAGAATATGCAGCAATATTAAAACTGTCTACAATATGTTAACTACATTTTTTTTTTTTAAATACTGGGTTAAACAGTGTGAAAACTGCACATGAAGACTAAACTATGCCCTATTAACATGGTAATGTACTAAGATAGTTTAAGATTTTTGGTTGTGTAAGAAAATGAAGTTTACCTCAAAATTATAAGATACATGTTTTGGTAAGCAATTTAAAATACAAAATCCCATTTGGGGGACTATAGAATGCTGTATTAGGTTAAGCATTGTTTTAGTGTTTTGGAAATATTTCATAATGTTAATGCTAACAGGGTAAGTCTCAACTTGTGGTATTAGTTTTTTGTTGTTTTTTTTTTAAGCTATGCTACCTGAAAAACCCAGGAATGCATCTGGTGAGATGTTTCACTTACCCCACCATTCAGACAGCAGCAGTGTTCTGGCCTGGCCTTGAGCCAGAAGATTTTGCTGGGGACAGTTCTGGGACCAGCCAGGTTACTGAAGGCTGCCCCAATAAGACTCAGCTTCTCTCAATACCTTCCTGTTTCTCGATAGTCTTTGTGCCCTGAATATGAATCTAAGTAATTCTCTCATAGTCTTTCTAAAAATCAGTGTCTAAGGACCAGTTTATCTGGGTGAATTCTACACAGCGTTGGACTTCTCTTAAGTAGCAGAGAGCTTCATGCAGTAAAGTTCCCAGGTTTCTGGTGACTAGCCTCATATACAGATGGTATCCATGTGGTCAGCCAGAATCAGGACTTAAAAATCTTAGTCTCGTCAACATTTAACATGCCTTTCAGTTTTCTTATTTGCATATCTACTTACCTATCACTGTGTTAGCAGAATAACTGAGACCCAGGTATGTAGAGAATTCTCTGCTCAGCTAGTTATTACTCACTTTACTTTTTATTATAAAGCCAGTTAGCCCTAAAATACATACCCATGAGAGATTTAAAAATCAGTAGGAAGGTGGGGCTTACCACATTTTCTTGGGAGCTACTACCTAGTTTATTTTAAAGCCTTGAAGCTGTGGACGCATAAAAATTTGTATCATAGACCAAACTATAATTAACAGAAGCATAAACACCCAAATAACCAGGTGGTCTTACTCTGGAGAAGAGAAACCAACATCTAGTAACAGAAGAAAAAGTAGCATTTAATACAAGGAGAGAGCTGAAACTTGTAAACTGAACTTTTCCTCTTACGAGGTGTTGACATCTGAAATGGATACTTGACTCTGTTTACAAAGTTTTCTTCCCTGGGCTATTTCCTGCCACCTGTTCTTCTCATATTTTTCATTGTTATTCATACTGTCCACTTTGCCATGTTTTCTGTATGCTTCCCCCCCCCATATTGGAGAGGATAACTCTCCTTTACATGTATGATAGTTCTGGTTAATACTAATTTGGAGTTGGCCTGATTACTTGGAAGTTATAACTGCTTTATCCCAAAGCTTTCACCGAAGGGCTCTAACTGAAAACTTAGATGTTATGTTCTTTGTTGTAGTTAAATCTGCATTGTTCAATGCAGACTAAATAAATGGAATGCAAAATTAAGGATGACTTTAGTATCTGATGTTTGTTTTTAATGAATGAATTATTCAAAAGATATCTATTCTTGAGAGATCCATGGGTCTGAATACTTTTAAATGAAAAAAGGCAAAACTTAAAAAAAAAAAATTGCAGGAGTGGCTAGAAATCCCTTTCTGAAACCCATTATCTGTGTAGTTTGACAGTTGAAATACCTGTAAAGACATGTTATCTATGGTTGGTGTCAGTAGCAACATCTTGGTGCATGCCCAGATATTAGGCCTCCTTTTGCCTGGGTCCCCCACAGAGAACTCTCCAGGTCCCAGGAAGACCTTACAGTTACCTTCCTAAGTGACAGCACTTGTTACATTGCATTCCACAATTTTATTTTACCCTCCGTCCCCCACCCCCACTTTTCATAGACCAGGATCTCTGAACATGGGCTGTCCCTCATTTCTGTATTTGCTATTACGAAATCACAGATTAGAAAGGACAAAACATTCTATCAGTCTCGGGGGAGTACCATTTTCCCAAAAAAGATTGAGATTCCACCCAGAACAAATGAGCTATGATAACGAGATGCATTAAAAACCAAACTAATAACAGATAACAAGCAATCTCCTTTGCTCTGATAGACCTTATCAAATGGGTTCTCCTCACTTCCAGTTCACTGTTTCAGTACTGATAGATAGAACCTCACTTCATTTGAAGGTGATCCAAGCAATACGTGTGCTATAATCAGAATCTTAGGTGTTTTACTACATAATCACTGGTTATAACCCTGAGCATTCCGCATTTTCCCAAATATGGACAGGCAACAAATGCAATCACAAATTCGTTCCTAGTAACAACACTAAAGACCAGAGGGAAACACTGATTTGCAAATGCCTCTTTAGGGCTTATTCCTCTTGAGCAGTAGTTTCTTGGGAATATGAAAATGTCAACTTTAATCAGTGCCTGCCCATTAGCCCTTCCCCTCTTTTTTTTTTAAGAGTTATTTGATAAGCTATAAACGAGTGTGAATCCCAGAGGAAGGTAGACTAATCCAAGCGAGATCATGTATGACTTCTAAATACTTTTCAGAATTGTAATGGTAGAAAAGCGTTAAAAATGACAATAAAACAAAACAACAACAAAAAAAACCCAAACCAAAAACCTTAGTATAATCTCAGTTTGCAAAACGTCTTGCTTTCCCATGCTCTGATGGGACATTAACTAAGCACACAGAACCTAATTTCCTATGGTGTATTAGGCCTTCCTCTTAGGTCTGACAAGGCCTAAGGATAATTATGTGCAGCAACCCACTGTGGCAGAGACTGAATTATCAGTCACATCTCATGGTCTTCTCACAAAAGAATAAGTCAGCCTCTCACTGCTTTATGTTGTCAGCTAATCTCTAGACAGACTTCTGGTTGGAGCTGGCTTTTCTCATCAGTCTTGTCAATAATACTCTATTGTCAAGAACTAATTCATTTTAAGGGAATTAACATTTAAAACAATATTAACGTTACTATTATTAACTTTAATAGTATGAATATTATGATACTGGTATACAGTTTGTTAATATGTTTCATACATATGCATATTCCAAATGTTAAGTAGATCTTCTAATAATGTTTACTCCTTTAGTTGAAAAAACAGCTTTATAAGTGTTCATATTACAAATCACCTCTCTCATGAGATGTGAACAGTGTGTTTCTTCTTGGTATTTTTCTACCACAGTATAAACCCTATGTCAGTAAAGGGCCTATATTGTGTCAAAAGTGACATTAGGGTAGGATTATCAAAAATAAACTCAGTGATTATTAAACATTGTACATAAAAACACTAAAGTATTACCCTAGGAAAAAAAGCTGAAGTATTTTAGTAAATGAACAATTCTTTATCTGCAGGAGTTAATGTAGGTGCCAAAGGTAGGTAACTACTCATTAAAGACTTAGAATAAAACACACAACATTCTCAGCCATAATTGCTTTTGTATGATCCAGTATGCATTAAACCTGCAGACACTTGAAATCGATCTCACGTGTCACAAAGGTCGGTCATTTAAAAAAAGAATGTTTGATTACTTATTTGTTGTCTATCACGGAAGTAGAATGGATTAATCTCTCGGGCATCAAGCAATGAAACCAGCAGTTCCCCCCGGAAAATTATTTTGTCTCTTTACTTAATTACCCGTCCTAACCAAAATTCTGTCTCATTACATTACTAATATTCTTCAATAATGCTACTGCAAAAGTCCATGAGCTACTTTGATGTACCTGTACCTGTTAGGCTTTGATTGCTTTACTACCTGGAGGGAATATCAGACAACCTGTATGTTCATGAATCTCTCTCTTTATCCTTGGAAATTTCACCGAACAAGATACGTCTGCTCTAACTCAGCCCCCAATTTCCTTTACCTTAGAAATTCACTTTTAATAAATTCAAAACATGAACCATGTTAAAAATCATATAGTTGAGTTCGTAATGGGATGAAAAGGCCTATATAGGGCTTGCTTGGTGCATTAACATCCATAAAATCATATTCTGTGTCCCAAACATCACCCTTGTTCACATGTTAAATAACATAGCAACACAAATAAGGAATTAAAACATTTCCAGATGATAACGTGGCTCTCCGAGGGTAAACATAACCACTACCTACTAACAGAATAGCTTTCCTGTCTTAAGGTAAGCCTATATCCAAAATGCTTTCATGTTTCTGCACTTGCCAGTTAACATCGGAGAAAATGATCCTCATCTATTTTAAGAAACAGAGAAATTACATTGTTGAAATCTCTAGAATCACATACTTTCCCTTCCCCACCATCAATTTTGTCAGTTTTGTCCTTTGGAAGCTCTAAACAAGGGACCCCGATCTGTACCCTTGGGCCAATTAAGTCTGCAGATATTTAAGCCCAAGGGTTTCAAAATTTTGAATTTGAGTGCATGTAGGGACACCATATATTCCTCATTGTGGCCACAGGCCCAGCATCTCCTATGGTCTTACAGTAGGTGTGATTCACACAACTGCTGGCCAGTCCCTGGAATACTTTGAGTTTACAACTCCTGTTTTCCTCTGTATGAAAACACTGCTATTAGATTCAATTGAAATTTTTAGTGTCTAGCTTCACAAACGTGAACTAGAAAAACAGTTGGACAACTGTTCAGCAAGTCTATTTCTGCCAAATCAACTAACCAAGCAAACATCCAA